ATAGTTTTTCAATTGAAAATCTTGCTTATTTAGTTTTCCATTAAAACGTGATTAGCTACAGACCCTGAATCTCGACCCCTAACTGCATTAAAAATCTGAATGGAGTTCCACCACCTATACGTTTGCATGTAAGTGTAAATTTACGTGTGTTTGTGTGTGTATGTGTGGTTGTGTATGTGTGTGCATGGTAAATAATTCTGGGATTAAGTCTAACATCAAACCAGTGAGGTCACATGCTAGCCCTGCCAGCCAGACGCCCATCCTGGCCATTTCACTCTCTGCTTCTAATTAAACGAAGCCGAAGGGTAAAATTACCTTCTGCATGTCCAGTGAAGAAAGCTTTGTGGACACGTGTGATGGAGGCTTTTGTTCATCTGCAACAATGAATCTTAAGCAGATGTGTGTGTGTGGGCCTTCAGTTTCATGTATTTGTTCAACTTGTAATTGTAATTCAGAAGGATAAAATCTGCTTATACTAAATGATTTTAAGCAGAAATTTTCAGGTTGTTTCAGTATTATTTTATGACAACTAATTCCAAGGTGTCTGTGTCTAAACCAGTGGTTCTTAACCTGGGTTCGATCGAACCCCAGGGATTCGATCGAACCCCAGGGATTCGATCGAACCCCAGGGGTTCGATGAGTCGGTCTCAGGGGTTCGGTGGAGCCTCTGCTGCGAAGGTAAAGACACACTTGTGTAAAGTCATGATGACGCGCCCCGCTTTGCCATCACTTGCTGCAGAGGATCACGTTACATTGCTGAGCCAATCAGAGCTGCGGAGGAGCACTGATTGAAGGAGTTCCACTCTCAGCATGGATTTGAACTTGTGTCTTTAATTACTTCAGCGTTTGTTGTACTTCTAAATCTGCTCCTTAGTCGCATCTTTTCGGGCCTGCTACTGCCTCTAGTGGCGTGGGGGTGGTAACACAACTAATATAATTACATTACTAAATCAGAATACCGCAGTCTTTATTATTTATTATTAATTTTTCATTATTTTAAGAATGTAGAGCTAATTAAATGATCTAAACAAGACCTTAAAGTGGTTCCAGTTTCTCTCAATGGCCAACCTACTGAAACTGTGGAAAATTTTAAATACCTTGGGTCGTTCCTGGACAGTCAGCTCAACTGTGCTGAAAACACTGACTATATTTTGAAGAACTGTTCTCAGAGACTCTACCTTTTAAGAAAACTTAGTGATCAGAAGACCCAACTTAGAGGCTCTAGTTGGGTCACCCCTATGTCTTGAATTTGGGGTGGGGGGGAAATCATATTTTATTTATCACTACAGAAGGGTTCAGTGAATGCGCATAAGAAACTGGTGGGTTCGGTACCTCAAAAAAGATTAAGAACCACTGGTCTAAACTGACTCATGCTTTCATTACTAGATTTCACACAGTCATACCATTAGCATTTATCAACAGCCACCAGTTACTTTGTCTCGCTGCTACTAAACAGCTACATTTCTTTAACAGTAATGCCACTGTGCTAAGATTGATATAATTAGCTAACGTGTGTTTTTTAACTTTTGAAATGGTCATTTTTCAACTGTATTCGATGCAAGTGAGATTTAGGACAAAATCAACAACAATGCCTTGACCAGACGACAGAGCGAAGCTGCATCACATTTCTAAGGAACATTTCCACTTTCCTCTTAAGCCAACGCCAGTGTAAGAACTGTTTGTTAATGTCATCATAAAGTATAGTTTGCATTGCATTCATGCTGTTAAAGTTAAGAATGTGATAAAAGTGTAATCCCAGTCACTGATGTTAGATGTAATTGGTTGCAAAGAGCCCATCACTTCCACGTCTGCAGAGCGCAGCCTGAGGATAACGCAGCGCATCGGGCTGAACGGCGCCGCCATCAAACAGGGTCAGCATGTTTCCTTTAACTCACCAAGACTTGAATTCGCTCATGTCATAAACAATATATGTAGTTAATGATGTGCTGAAAGGAGTTCACCTCACTCATGGTCTTGTTTACAGTCATTTATGCTAATAGAGACATTTAGTCTTTGGCACAAGAAGCGGCGTTATGTGACAGCTAACATCTTTCAACTAGGAGAGTGTGAGAGGTTTCTTTCTATTTAGAACACCAGGAAACAGAAGCATGTCAGAGTTGTACTATGTCTTTCATTTTTGCATAATGTTTTTAGTTTTGCAACAGGGAAGATAACTGCAAAGATAAAGCAGGTCCTTGAGCCCCCTTGGTTATTTGGCTCAATCTTCTGTTAAAAATTTGGGGATAATGTTCAACTAAGTTTTGAGAATCATGTAAAATTATTGGTTCCATCCCGTTTTTACCACTTGTGAAACACTGCCAAACTTAGCCCTATTGTCTCTCATCCTGAGATAGAAACTTTGCAATGTTCTTTTCACTTCTTTACTCAAGTAAGAGATACATGTGAAAAACAAAACATCCTGCTGGTGCGTATATAACCCACGCAATCTTATCCTATTAAAGCAGAGGCTCTGTTTAAAATAACTTTAACCAGCAGAGGGCGGCTGACCTACTCCCAGCGTTTCAAGACAAGAAGAAGGTTTACAGACATATTGACAGCAAGTCAGACAGACAAAAAGTGTTAGGGTTCTGTTAATCTTTTAGAGATCTCCTGAAAACCTGTTCTAAAAGTTCTACAGCCCAGACGTCTTTAAACTCTCCTGCTGTACATCCAACAACTGTCTTTTCCAGCATCCTACCAGATCGTTGTTTGGAGGAAAACAAATCAAAAGAAGCAGCTTTGTTTTTCATTGTTGTTGTTTGCAGATGTAGCCAAAATGTTTTAGCCTGCTAATATCCATGTAATTATTTAATCAAAATAAATGCACTAATGTCCCACCCCTACAGATAAAGTGATTTTTAAAAGCCAAGGTCCAATTTTCAAATATTTCCAAAAGATTGATGCGGGAAGGGGCCTATAAATCAGCTCAAGCCCACAGGCCCCCATCCCCTTACATCTGGCCCTGCACACAAAGCATATGTGTATTTTGACCAGTAGTAGATTAAACCACCATCATTTTAGATTGAATCTTCAGTCGAATTTCATATTGCAACCATGTCTCAACTACATTAGAGGTTGAGGTAGCTAAGTCCTATTGTTTCTTTTTTTTACCTGTTGTCTATCTTTTCCACTCTAAACTTCATGCACACCTCTGTCTGTGTGTGGGAGACAGAACAAACAATCTTTGTAACTTAGAACAACATAAACATATAATGTTGGTTCTGTTGACCTAGCCAGCTGGTCCGCGGTCTGACCAACACGTTGAGGTTCACAGTCTCTTGTTGGTTCTTTGAAAAAGAATGAAACTTGCCCAGAGATCCATGTGATAACACGATGCAAGATAAAACCCGGCCACATTATGAACTGAGTCCAACAAGCAGTGAGTCGTGATGAAGGTGCATTAGCAACACCAGTCAAACTGGGTCTGGTTTCACAGCCACCAGTTCTGCTTAATAAACCATGGAGATATTCCACTTTCTGAGACACTCTTGTCTGAATCCAGCGTTTCAAGATGCTGAATGGTCCTGATGGCTGAATGGCTGAGAGCCGGCGCTGCCTCTTCTCTCATAATATGAAATGTTTGGGAATTCTTTTGTGTCTGCTCCTCAGTCTGACCCCGCGAAAGCTGCGGGATCAGCAATGGAGGCTTACAACCGTCCTCATTTATTTACCATGCTTTTATCTAATTCCTAATGCCCCCAGCTTATTCCTCCTAATGGCCCTTCAGGGCTGCACAGGAGGAAAGGAGAGTGTGCAGACATCACTGGGTACAGCAGTGGAATGTGTCCAGAACTGATAAGCAAAGCAGCTTTTCTCTAAAGAGGAAATTGATCTCAGGAAAACCTTCGTTATATGAGAGTTTTTCCACTCTTAATGAAAAATCTAAAGGTTTCATCCCACCCACTCCTTCCAAAATAACTTGGAAATGTCCACACCTTTGATATATGCTGTAATGGACAAGGGTCTAATGTAGTGGATGTGAAAAACACACATCCGCCAGAGTAGAAATGTCTTTTTACTTCACTCAAAGTGTGTCATTTATTTTGACAATTATAATTATTTTAGGTGTTAATTACTCCAAAAGTATCAGCATTTATTAAAGAGACAAAAACCTGCAACTAAGTAGGACCCAGGATTTTCCCAGTGTATTATAAGCCTGGTGGGGCTCCAGGCTTTATTTGTGTCCCCACCAGGCTCAGCAATGGACCTGAGCCTGGTGGGGCTCAGGTCCCCATGATGCTTATTTAAGTCTTTTTTGTTTGCATTTTTTTAAGATTTTATAGTTGGTGTTCAGGTATTAATTTTCCAATCTTTCAATGACACATAATTATCAAGTGATATTTTAAAATTTACTGTCAATTTGAAACACAGAAACAGAGAGTGAAAATTAAATTAAAAGGAAATTCAAAGGTGAATTATGCCGTCCCTGCATTAAATGTACCTTACATTATTCCATACTGTATCAAAGCCACTCTTTTAGAAAGAGTGGCTTTGATAATTTTTTATCAAATTTTGTAAAAATGTTCTCTTCTGTTGCAAATCATTTAAATAATGCAACCACAAAAAGATACCTAACTAAACTATTATTTGTAACGCGTTAAAAAAACTAAAAACTAACTAATATGAGGTTTGAGAAATGAAAAAGACTTGACTGACGTTGCACTCTCACTGGCGAAAAGATTTCACAAATCAGAATTACGGAAATAAATTTGCTTAATTGAAAGCATTAAGCATTAATTATACTTGTGATAAAATTACGAGAATAAAGTCGTACTATTATGACTTTATTCTCAATATTTCGACTTTATTCCTGTTCAACTTTATGACTTTATTCTTTTGATATTACAACTTTGTTCTGGTAAATAAATCACAAGGTAACTCTTGTAATTACATTTTTTTCTTAGTTTTTTTTTAGCATGGCCCCAATACTGCGCTGCAGAACGATGACGACAGAGCAGGAGAAGTTTGCGGGTCGCTCCCTCAGGTCCTGAGGAACCCACCTGTAGCCGTGCTGCGTGTCCACGCACAGCCCTCCGTTGAAGCAGGGGTTTCTGGGATACGAGGCGCAAGGCTGATGGGACTGCTCCCGTCCCGGGCAGGAGCACACAGCCTTGGACTCCACCATGACGGAAACCAGGCTCATGGTGCCACAGTCCACCACCGTGGGTGCGTCCCGCACCTCCAGCACACTGGTGCAGCCGCCGGAGTCAGCGCACTCTGAACCGGGACACTCGTCCACCCGGACCTGGAACACGCTGACCTGCAGGAAGGACTGGAGCTGGAGAGAGCAAAAACAAAACCCAACCGGTGTCAGACTAATAACAGACATCATTTATCAGAGTTCCAGCAGCACAGGCAGTACTCTCTTAAATAAGAGCTGTGCAGCATTTTTTTTCTTCTCCCCCTTTTTGACACTGATATGTTCTCTGGTTGTTATCACTGCAGGCAACACAACTTCTTCTTCTTCTTGTTTTGTTCTTCTATCTTTCAGACTCACACAATAGGATGTATTTTCCTTTACACAGGCACCAACTACTAGCAGGGTGATAGTACAGAGACAGCGATCCCTCACCGACTGCCCACACACATACACACACACAGCCAACTGTGTTGGATCAGTGTAAAAAAGACAAAAGCAGAAGCACTGTAGCCTGGTAATGAACCCAGGTCTCTGCTGCGCTGAGAGACTGAGTTCCACTTCTTCTGCTTTGCTTGTTTTTCTTCTCAAATGTTGCAGGGAAAGAAAAAAAAGCCGCCCACCAGAACAACGTCATTCATTTTGACTCCTGCCATCTTAAAAGTGTGGCTGGCCTGTTCGGGAACAACTCGGCCTGTCAGTGCATGCAATTCAACAGCTGTTAAGCTGGAAGTGGGATTTGACTTTTCAGTTGTTTTTTTTTTTATTTCTTTTCACTTGAAGAAGTAGTTATAGTGTGAAAACCATAGGCACAAGACATCTGAATATACTTTATTTCAACAGGCAGTTTAATCCAGACACAGGTCCATTTTAAATGACTCAAGTTATCTTTATCTGATATGTAATTTTCCTAATGATCTGAAACATTTAGGTGTGGGAAAAAAAAAAAAAAAAACAGAAAAAAATCTGCAAGTGGCCACACGACAGCATGTGCTGTACACTAAGCAGTTCATAGCAAAAAAAAAAAAAAAGTCTGTGCAGTGGTTTTCCGTGCAATAGTCCGGAAAAGTGGGCTACATGGTGGTCAGGCAGGGAGGAATTTATGACCCTCAAGGTTGAGGAGAGCGATAACACTTTGGAAGGGAAAATTGAGTGGAAACTGAGTGTGTGCTGTGTGTGGTGTAGGCATGAAGATGTCCTGTCATTGGCTTGTCGAGGCGACGCAGCACATGTATGTTTGCTGACGTTAGGTGATAACGTCCACACAGACACATTCAGTGCGAGGAAAAAGTGGAAATGAAAGCAGGTCAGCTTATGCTCAATGTTCTGGACTGAATGGACTTTATGCAGTGTGAAATGACAGCGCCGGCTAAGCAACACTTCCTCACTCGGCTCTGCTGAAATAGTGACTGTAATTGTGATAAGGGCTTTTTATATAGGTCACGCTTTTTGCTGACTGATGTTTTATACTAAATATGTAAGCGATATGCTGCATATTTGCTGATTTAAAGTGTTTTTCCCCCATTTGAGGCTTCCCTAAATGTGACCTGCCTGCATCATTAATGTTTTTGCTGTCCAGGCAAATCAAAGCTGAATGTATTAATTCACTGCCTTCTTTCAACTTTGATGATGCGAAAGGAATGTGCAGCCAGACAGGAAATTAATTTGCAGATGAAAGAAGGCCATGTTGAACAAAGTGATTCACTCATGAATGAACTGTCGATAATTATGAAGTCACTTAAATATGTATATCAATAAAACCTCTGCACTTTTTTGTAGAAGACACTATGACAGAGACTGGAGACTCTCTGGTAAAGTACTTGACTTCTTCTCTGTTTAAATAGGAAACTTTTCATCAGAGTGAACAGAAGTGACATGTGAGGCATCACAAGGTTCAGTCCTGGAGTTTAATAGCTGCTTGTTTCTGATAGTTCACATTGTGAGAAGTAATGAGATAAGTTACCATAGCTACACAGATGACACAGCGCTCTATGTTATGTCACCAGGTGGCTCTGATCCCATCCAATCACTGAACAGATGCTTAGAACAAGTCAATAACTTTCTTCAGCTAAATAAAAGTTAAAGATATTATCTTTGGACCTAAAGAGGAATGATATAGAGTTGTAGATCTAGAGTCTACACACAGCTTCAATTATTACAGACAGAAACTAGAGATCAGGCCTGAAATCTGGATGTAGTGATGAACTCTGACCTGAACATTCAGAGCCACATAAAGACAGTGACAAAGTCGGCCTTAAATCACCTGCAGAACATTTCCAGAATTAGAGGACTTATGTATCAGTAAAAGAGAGTTTCTAAAGAAACTCATCCATGTGCTTATTGGTGGTCACATTGATTACTGCAACAGCGTCTCACAGGTCTAAATAAAATCGATCCTCCAGCTGCAGCTGATCCAGAACGCTGCTGCTGGTGTTCTGACTAAAACCAGTAAGATAGAGCACATCATGCAGTTCTAAAGTCTTTCCATTGAGATAATAGACTTTAAAATACTGCTGTTAGTTTATAAATCACTGAACAGCTTAGCACCAAAATACATTAAAGATCTACTGTTGTATCAACCTTCCAGGCCTCTCAGGTTTTCTGGTTTCTTGATTAAAACCCAGCTGTTTAGTGCTGCTTTGGTTATAGTACATAGATCATGGATCAATATATTTGATGTCATATTTGTTTGACGATTTTGATGATGACACTTGACAAAATATAATGTTTGTTGCTGGTTTCAGAATTGGTTACTGAATTATGTCCTCATGATACGAAGCATTTTGAACCGCCCTGTTGCTGAAACGTGCTATTCTAATATTCTAACACTCTTTTTTTTTTATATGCTCCAGGAAAGCTTTGGTCACGCATCAGCCAACTCTGCAACAGACAGAAATCTGTTGATGTCAGCTCTGGCTGTCAGCAGTAGAAATAGCAGTTGGTTTAACACAGTAACTTTCAGCCAAAGCCATAGATTCAGCAACTTATTGATTTACCAGCAAGTCCTGCTTTGTGGTGCAGTCATATTTAAATCGTTAAAGTCGCTTAATTGTCTCTAAAAAGCTGCCGGTAAGCTGCCTGTAGGACAGGCGCGAGGATGAAGAGACCCTGAGGGGTTGAACGATCTCTATATGTTCTTGGATCATTTACAAACTGTCCACTCTGAAATTTGTTGGATATAAAAATAGTGTACATCTCATACTATAAGAGGCTCAACCCACACACTCCAACTATAAAAGATTAATCGTACAGCTGGAGGAAACTTTCCTACAACAAAGGTCATTGGCTAACACCCATTTCTTAGTCTGTGTTCTGTCCATCAAACGGTCACATCCAATAAATTAGAATATGCATCCTTATGCAGGTCACTTGTCAGAATAAAAGTTTGGAAATAACATCACGGAAGCAGGTAATTAATAAACTTTACATGGAGCCCATGGAAGACAGTTTTTATCGGTTTGGTGTAATATTCTCATTTTAAATGTCATATTTTCATTAGCTGTCAGTGGAAAATCGTCATAAATAACAGTAATAAGGCTTTCACACACCCACTTGTGTGTAATTAGTCTAATTAATGCATTATTCCTTCCTGAAATAAATGGACTTTACCATTCTATCCTAATTGAATAAATTGGTCTGTATACATGGGTGCATGTTTCTGTGACACAAAAAAAGGCAGCAGAATTTTTTTTTTTCACATTAGTTTGAGTGGTGAAAACTTTTCTTTTTGTATTTTAAAATATTATAGCAGTTATTAGGCTAAGTGGAACAGTCTCAATTTTTCTGAATAAATCTCACAATTGAAGACGGAACACAGACAGAGATGCTCTTCAGCGTTCAGAACTTCAGATTTCTGTGTAACAGGTTACGGATTAATACTTGGATTAACCTCTATAGCTATTAAAATTTGACTTCCTTACAGCTGGTGGAAGCAATTTATTGCTGCACAATAAAATGTCCCAGAAATTGAATGATAATATTGTTGGTTTGAGGCTTTTTTCAAGTACTATACTGATAAAATCACACTAATGCAAGTTTGCCGGTACACTTTAATTTTATAAAAAAATATATATATAAAAATAAATAAATAAATAAATATAATAATAATAATAATAATAATAATAATAATAATAATAATAATAATAAAAACACTTAAGAATAAAACCAGAAGATGTTTTGATTAAAATAAAAATATATTAAAAAAAAAAATAAATACATAAACAAATAATGAAGAAAGGAGAACCAAACACAACTTAAATCATAAATTCAATGAATTGTGTGAATTCTCTGTGGATAAAATTGCTCTTTAAAAAAATATTAAATTAAATTGGAATGAAAATTAATGTAAATGCGCCAATCCAATATGAATGTTTGTATCAGTCTTGATATTTAAAAATAAATCTCTATCAGCCATCAGTGACAATGTGCCCGATCCATAAGAGCCAATCTATTCAGTCTAATTCTATGCTTTGTGCACTGAGCGATGTGATGCTTTATTGTTTATTTTACATTATATCCTAATTGCCCTTTCTGAACCATTTGGGAGAAGGTTTGTTGTGAAGCTACTGGGTTTTTTAAGTTATCAAATATAACAGTAACATCATTTTTTATTTATGTTTCTTCTTTTTCTTTTTTTTTTAAACTAAGAATCAAAGATTAATGTCAGGTAAATAGATTTGGAGTGAGAGCCCAGAGGGAAGGGATCGGACCCAGTTCTGAGCTCCAGCAGGCAGAAACAGAGGGACGGAGAGAATCTGGTCTTCTTTTTTATAATCAATCTACTTCTGAGCCATTACTGGAGAACTGAGCACATTAATAATAAACACCGCTTCATCTTCTGCACCGCTTTCCTTTCGTTCCACTCCTCCCCCTCTCCCCCTGTCCTCCCCCTCGCCACGCTTCACATCTCATTCTGATCAATGTCTTCTCCAGAGAACTTGGCTGAATTCAGATGAAATGCTCTGTGCTCTCCTCACAAATCACACCTGAAAGTTTCTACCTCTGTGCTCTCCCATCTTTCTCTTCCTCAGTCCGGGCTTGTCTCTCCACGCCACTCTCCTCCTCAATTTTTATCCGCGCACGTTTTTCCCCGGCTGCAGCTCCCCTCTTTCTGTCATCCTTGAAGATAGCCGTATGAAAGGGGAGGAAAGGCTGAAAGGCTGAGGGCTGACTGTGGTTATTCACCTGAACTGACCACCGCAACCATAACCGGGTTGGACTGTTTCTACCCCCTAACAGACATGCAAATGCAAACAGAGTGTGGCTCATCAGCCCATCCCAGGACACCAGCTCCGTCTGCGTGTCTCTGGGCGGTGGAACGGAGACAATGCAGCCTGGGAGGACGACCTGCTGAAGGCTCACGCTAGCAGAGGTCAGGTGATTCCTCAGACTTCTGAAACAAGAAATTCCATCTGACAGACCTCGCTTTGTATGGATATTTCATTTAAAGTAACCTTAACTTGAACATTTCAACAGGAAACAACATCCTTTAAAAACAAAATTCTATAAGCTTTATAAAGACACTGATGGCGAGGAATAAAGTTTGACTCAATCCCACTTCAAGTTTCTAAAACTATACACAAGTAGATCAGGTGTCAATTAATTTAGTCATTGATTAATCATTAAATGCTCAATAAATCTACTTGCTGACATAACATAGAGCAGAAATTAAGCCAAAACTGTATTCTCTCTGTAGATGCTTTTGAAATCAGCATTTAAGTTCACATGCTCTCTTTTATGGCTAGCAGATCTGCACAATCCATTAGATCAGATGTTAACGTTAACAGCTCTCTATGAAGTTCAGGATGTGTGTCGGCACGGTAACCAGCCTTTTAAACTCAGAGCAAAGTTATCCCAGGCCTTCTTTCCGGGCTACAGCCAGTCAGGCGGATGCAGCCTGTGCGTGGCTAGCAGCAGATCTGGGTCATCACTCAGGTTCAAACGGTCTCAGACAAACCCTCAGGGAGAATTACCTGCTGCTGCTGGCTGAAAGGGCTGTTCTCACAGCGCTGCCATTCTCAGACGGGGATGCACATTCAATGCCACCACTGACCGTTGTGCACTTTTGCAGTCATGCTGCGTTATGCTCCTAAAACTGTTTCCTTCACTTCCCAGTTGTGCGCTGACACGCACTTAAAAAAAAATCCACCTATTACTGTGTGGTTCTCAATCAGGTGAAACGACGGGACTCTCTAATCCTGTTTACGTCGTCGTCTTGTTTACATTTTCCCTAACAGTCGTGTGTGGAGTTATAGAGTAATCCGTCTGATTATCCTTCCCACTGGAAAGGAAAGTCAGAGGAAATATGAATGATCTGTATGGGAAAGAAATGAAGTGAAAGGCTACATGCTTCACACTTTATCTACTGCTAAGCCCTGATATACCCACTATGTTTTCTTGTTTATGTTTTCTTGTCTAGTTTGGGGAAAAAAAGCAACAGCACAAGGACAAATGAGTGTTTTATTATATAATATAGATGTTTAAATATGTATAAAATCAGCCAATAGAGGCACTTTGTTTTTCAAACTTTTATAGTTTTATTTGTTACATTTTTATTATTGTTAAATGCAGTTTTCGTCCAAATTTACAGAGTGAGAAGTGCGTACACGATTGACCCTATAACCCCTCCTCCAGCCTCTGATTGGTTGTTTCTGATTTGGAGCAGTGTACAACAGCAGGCGGCTGTTGGACCACAAGGAGGAGGCAGAGGAGATCGATTTTTTATTCCATATCTGTCTCATGTTCTACTGTCAGGATGAAATGACAGTTTTAATAAATACGTAAAAAAATATTTATTTTCATAAAAGTTACCTCCTGCAGCTTTGAAGGACTTACTGGAACAGCAAAATATATTGGACAGACAGGAACTTGCTTCAAGCAACCAAGGGCAACAATCAAAATGAGCAACAGATGAAAACGTATGCAGCAGACAAAACTGACCATCACTGCCCCCTATTGGACGGGAGGGTGAAACTGTCGACCAGAATCAACAAGTTACAAATGGAGCCACATTTACCTGAACCCAAACTTCAAATAATTATTCCAGTGAACGAAAACAGGAACGAATTGATTTTTTCGTGTTTTTTTTTCCATTTAAATGAAGTGGTTCTTTTCATCTCCCAATTGCTCAATATATAAACTTTTTACCGCATTACACTGACATAAGGTCTACCCAAACTTGAAGTCAGTACCATATGTAAGTCAGCATGTTATTAGGTGAGGGAAACCGAGGTCATGACCTTTGTCAATATGGTAAAAGACACTTTGACACTTGCAGTGGTCGGGAATCAAACCAGCAACCTCTATGGCTGCAGCAGAATCACTTTGCCAGCTGAACCGCAGCGCCCTGCAGGTACAAGCGCAGCTCCAAACAAACGTCAGCTCAAACAGAGAGCACAACCCCGCTTTTAAGACTCGGTCGCACCGACACCCACAGGTGGAAAGTGCACTTACTCTGTGCAGTTGACTAGATTATGTGAGTGCCACTCAGGAGGCAGAGCTGTCAGTCCAGTGAGAGCAGAGACCCCAACAAAACAATCAAGCTGACAAGACTTTATTGTGTTTACCAGGACTGTCGGCATGGATGAAAGCCTGCGAGACGTATAAAGTGACCTACCTTTTGTTTGTGGGCGGCTAGGTATCCATGCATTTTCTCCGGCTGCAGGAAAGAGGGGCCTGCGCTCACAGCAAAGCGGACGTCCAGCATTCGCTCCTTCACGTCCATGAGGCTGAAGATGTTAACGTCACCCGGTGGGACGGAGAGCATCTCCGACAGGAAGTCCACCAGCAGCTCGTAGCGGCTACGCTGCTTCCCTCGGAGCTCCATGAACTCCCTGGCAGTGATGTCTGTAGAAAGCAGATGGGATGAATACATTACTGGTCTCCATTATTTTTACACGTTGTGTGCCATAGTAGTTTTTGTAACAAATATATTTTTGTTACACAAACATCAGTATTTAATTAGCATTATATGAAGTAGAGCATTACTAAGTAGTGGTAGTATTAGCAGTAAAATGGAAAAAAATAGAAAATGCAGTCAAGATCATCCATCCATCCATCCATCCATCCATCCATCCATCCATCCATCCATCCATCCATCCATCCATCCATCCATCCATCCATCCATCCATCCATCTTCTAACACCCTTGTCCCTCAGTGGGGTCAGGAGGTGCTGGTGTCAATCTCCAGCTAACGTTCAGGGCGAGAGGCGGGGTCACCCTGGACAGGTCGCCAGTCTGTCGCAGTAGTCAAGATTATTAACGAATAAAAATCTAAAAAACATTTGTTGCACACAT